AGAGACGCGCCCGGGAAGAGGCGCAGATGCTGCCTTGTAGTCCCCAAGCCAACTGCGTGTGCCGCCTTTAGTTATGTGCGCTCCATGCTTTGGGCATCTCCGTGTGATCGCGACCCTGTCCTTTCCACCTGGTGCCCTTGCTGCTTTCTGGCTCTTGGCAAGGCATCGCGGTCTCCCTCTCATGCTCGCTCTGAACTTCGCGCGGACCAAAATAAAAAGATCGCCCACCGTCATGTTTGGAGCTTCCGCATTTGGAGCTTCCGCCGCCGTTTGGAGCTCCAAACAGCGGCAGTGCTCCAAACACGAAGCCGGTTGCTAAAGAGCCAGAAAGCAGCAAGGGCGCCAGGTCTTATTAATTTAATTTATACCCCCCCCCCCCCCCGCATTCCACTTCTCCCCTTGGCAAGTTTTCAAATTGGCTAATTATATTTAAAAGAAACAAAAATGGCATGTAAAAGTTGACAAGTTAAATTAAAATGTGTGCCAAGACTATTTAGCAGTTAAAAGGCCCGACAAAATAGTTGGACCTTCAACACTTTTCTGAAAAGGGTGTACTTTTCTTTTTAAAAGGCAGAGATTCAATACATTCTGCATTAAACATAAACTAATTTCTTAGAATGTCAAGCAATACTGATCTTTGTCTAACAGTATCTGCAAAGACTGTGATACAACAAAGCTGTAAAGAGGACAAAGTTGTTCAGTTTCAGTCTAGTGTTTTGAGTATATAGAGTGTTCAGTGCTAACCAGAAAAATTTAATCTCAGTATTAAAGTAAGTTCATGGCTCTTTGCAGCTATAGAGGGCTGGCTCTCCATAGTAATCGCAGAGGGCTATTGCTATGAGAATAAAATGAGACTTGCATGCACGCCCTCTTGTTGGGAAACTGCCAGCCTGGCTGGAAGGAGGGGCTCAAGTGGGGAACTAGCCCTGATTCCCTGTGTAATTGCAAAAGGCATAAGCCTGACTGTCCCTCTTCCCAAGATCCATGAAACCTTATTGGGGTGTTCCCAGAGAAGGCAAGCAGCCTCAGGAGATTCTTGTAATACAGGTAAAAGTCAATAAATGGATGACAAGCTTTTCATGAGTGACTTTGGTTGTTGCCACCTGACACGTCTCCAGCGTCCCAGAAGAAAGAGGAGCTACAAAAGCAACAAATTGAAATATAAAATATATTTAATGTAAGCTAAAATAAAGCACTAAGCCTACTCAGAACCCCAAAACAAACTGTTGCATTTTTGCCAGAAATCTGCAAATACTTTTTTTGCAAAAGGCTAAGAACATGTTTCTAAGGGAATTCCTTACTTCTGGAAATTTGTCCCGGACTTCTTTAATTTTCTCGCCTTTCTGCCCAATGATTGTCCGGTGAAAGCGCTGTTCAATGATCAGGTCCTTGGTGCGTTCATTTTCCTAGGAGAAACCACCATTCAGGAAAGGCGTTCCACCCGGTCCCAAACCAGCCATTTGTTTGGACCCCTTCCCTGAGGACTTCCAGCCAATACACAGAAAGATGCTTGATGCTCTCCTTACCATCCGGGCTGCCATTTCCAGGAGTTCCTTACGAGCCAGCTGAACCCCTTGAGGGTCTCCCTCAATCCGGATCAAGTTGCTCTTCTCACTGTCGGGAGGAATGCGGACTGAGACTTTGTGCTGTTCCTTGATGCGGTTGACTGGGGGAAAAATATAGAAAAGAGCATCAGAGGGAAATCCACTTCTCCCAGGGCAGGGCAACTATTTCCCCCTTTCTCCAACAAAGTACCGTGTTTCTCACATAATAAGGCCGGGCCTTTTTTTTTTTTGAGCCCCGAAAAAACGGCTAGGCCGTCTTTTCGGGGAGTGACTTAATTCCCCCCCTTGCATCCTCGCCAACAGCCGCTCCTAACGGGTGATCATGGCAAAGCGCAGAGAGCTCCCTACTCCCACCTTTGCTGCAGACACCTTTGGCACCCGCCGGTGTTGCTTTCCATTCTGCCCATTCCGCCACCACGTTTGGAGCTGGCGCTTCCATGTTTGGAGTGTCGCCGCCATTTGGAGCTCCAAACGCGGAAGTGGCAGCTCCAAACATGATGGTGGGCGATCTTTTTATTTTGGTCCGCGCGAAGTTCAGAGCGAGCAAGAGAGGGAGACTGCGATGCCTCCATCCGATATGGCAACCTCACTAGTGGATCACAACGTGGCTGGAAGCCCGAATCGGCGGGATACGATGGCAATCTATTTGGAGCGAGAGGAAAGGGAGAGAAGAGTTGCGAGGCGTAATTTGCAGGAGGAAGTGGGTGTACCCCACGGCAGGGAGCCCAAGGAAGAAGGGCTGGTAGGCAACGGAGAGCGTCCCGTAGCTCCGGAAGCAGCCTAGAGACGCGCCCGGGAAGAGGC